TCTCCGACTCAGTTCCCCCCTCCCGGGCTCCAGCTGCGCTGGGGAGGCGCCGGCCGGGGGTGCAGGGTCTGGGGGCTGCCCGGCAAACCGTGAAGCTGGTAGCACTCGGGCAGCCCTTTTCGTGTGGCTGGGAGGGAGGAGGGGGAGTTAGGGCGGGGACTTTGGGGAAGGGGCAGGGAATGGGTGGAGTTGGGGCGGGGCTGGGGGTGGGAAAGGGGTGGGGCCAGGGCACCGTGGAGTGTCCTCTTTTTTTATTTTTTAAATATGGTAACCCTACTAAACAGGCCTCAGTCTGTGCTTTGCTTTCTTGCTGAAAGCTGTGACCAGTTTATTGCCAGCAGTTACAGGTTACCACACAGCTCTTTATAAGCAAAACACACTTATTCTTAAGGTGAAAGCATTACAGAAAAAACATATTAAAAACAATAAAGGAGTCTACACACATGCTAATAAGCTTTACCCTCCGCCCTCCCCAGAGAGAGATCATCCCCATTCATTAACTCCAACAGCGGCTCTGGTAAAAGTCAGTCCTTCAAACCCCACCAAGGTTTTCCTGTGGTTACAAGTTCATAGCGGCCTTAGCTCAGAACTAGCCGAGCCAGGAATAGGTCAATCCTTCCTTTATACAGCTTGGGCCTTTGATCATGACATTCTGGGAGAGTAATCAGGAAACAGGGTATAGCTTCAAAAGACTAGGTTACATACAATCCCAGCCCACAATAATAGATCAATCATTCATTTAATACAATGAACACTAAGCTACTTAAACTTAATTCAATGAGGTCTCCCAGGGCAATTTCCTGCCATATCCTTATCTGTCGCAAACATCATCATCAGGCTGTTTTTCATAGTGGCTCTATAGGAATAAATACTAATATTTTACAGCAGGTATGAATGAAAACTCATCACTTACCAGGCCAAAGTCTGTGTGTAGATCAAGTCTAAAACATTTCGTGCAATATCAAATTCTGGCACTCCAAGTTTTTTGCAACATTTAGTTCCAATGATTCTGAAAATGACACAAAATCATGAACTATAGAACTGCAACAATCTTTAAAGGAAACTCCTGCATATAAGTAACAATGACTAACTATATGTGGATTTATATTAATGGTGTATTATGAAAAAGTGTGCACCGTTTGTCAGTTAGGCAGCAAATGGAAGAATAAGCACATATCTGTATTTGACAAAATACTGATGTTCATGAATATGCTGCATGGATGACAGAAGCCAAAGAACATTTTTCATTTGAGCCAAGAGTTATGCTATATAGGATGAAGCAGCTAAAATTTAAATGTAAAAATACTTCTCTATGAGATAACGGGTACAAACTGAGCATTAATTTAAAATGTTGCCATCAAATCAGTAACGATGTAATCTAGAAATCACACTCACCTTCGTACAAATTCTCCAAAGAAAGAACCAAGCAAGCAAAATATGAAGTCAATCACAATGAGACGGTAGATTTCTTGGCCAACTAGGCTTTCCCAGCACTTTTAAGAGAGCAAAATAAAGGGTGTATTTAATTCAAATCTCTCTGTCTAATGTATGAACTTCTGGACCCTGATCCAAAGCTCATTGAAAGACAAACGGAAAAATTTCAGGAGGCTGTAGCTCAGACCGTTGTTCACTCTAGTTTCCCTCCCCCTCAGACAGCCTCCCAAAACAACTCCAGTGAGGATAGAGCTCAAAAATGTGCTCAGATCCAGTACAATGGAATTCATCATTGTCTCTGTCTATACAGTGAGCTATAGCTAGCACTGACCTAAGCTGGATGAATAATGTCATACTCTGACATTTTTTCCTCACAACAGTTGTTTCTCCAAAGATTCCTGGATCCAGCTGAAGAATGTCAAGGCCACAATTCCTTCCCCCTCTTAAGAGGCCACATATAGCCCTCTGCACTGGGGCAAATTTCATCCCAACAGTCTGTTCCCTTTCACACACCTTTTCCTCCACTGATCACATATTTCCTGATGTTTAGACAAAATATTATGAAAGTGGTTTAAGGCTAATTCCTGACCATGTGTTTTATGGCAAAGATTTGTACACACGAGTGATTAGAACTTTACCTCTTTCTCTGACGTAGCCACATCGTTAAGCCAATAGTAGCAGAGGATTCCAATTATTGATATTTTCAGACAAACATTCCTACAAAGAAGAAGTAACTATATTGATTCCTGTTAAACAAACATGGAGGGATGTGACATCGGTTGCACATCACTCCTTTCTAATGCATTTGATTCTGTGAAACACCTTGCCAGTGAGATGTGTGACATTCCATGTGGGAGAAAGGCAGCAGTATTTGCACATTGTCCTACACTAGGGATGTCAGCTTTAAAGTAGAGTGCAGCTCCACTTGGCCAGCTTTAGAAGACACTCTCGGTGGAGCAGGGATGATGGTACTTTGTATTGCTGTAACCAACCGTCCCTCCATTTTCCATCTTTCCCACACTGGGGTCTGCACCACAGGCTGAGCAAAGCCCAGTGTATCAGGATATGCTTGAAAGAGAGGGAAACAATGCACTTGCCTCCACTGAGGCTGTGGCACTGTAGCGAGCTCCAAGTACATAACAGGCAGCATTAGAGGTGGAGTCACAAGTCCTTTGAATGGAGCAACTGCCCTGATGCATAGCAGGCTGCTGCTTTCAGTACTCTTTCGTCATGGGCCTTACCGTTGACAGAAAAAGTGCAGCAGCTTCAGGCAGCTCGTGCGGCTAACTAGGAGAGGATGGCACTGGATACCTGATAATAGTGGTGTAGAGCTGATGTCTGGGATACTGGAATTTCTCTATGAGTCCAAACAAGGCAAAGCAGAAGGGGATGAGGAGGTTGAGGAGAGACACAACAATGGGCAGCACTAGCGTGGCAGCCTCGTTTTCCAGCTCACTTTTGTTACCTTCCAGGAGCTTAAAGGGAAAGAAAAATAAAGCATAAGAGAGCCTCCCCTCAGAATTGTCTTTGTGGAACAGTTTGTACACTGCGATGCCTGCATTCTCTTGGAGAGTCACGGCTCTGCATTTAACCTATGCTATCATGCTTTCATATGCCCAGTCCTGCTAGGATGGACCTCTGTACCCACACAGGCAAGGGGAGGGCACTCGCAGATCCAAGTGCAGTACTGGGGGCTTAGAGTGCACCAGACAGCATTTTCTGTCTTTTCATTGTTTTTCTTTGTAGTACCTAGCAGAATAAGGCTACTGGAATCCGAACTAAGCAATTCTTCCTGCTGCCTACTAGGCCTTGATTATTTAAACTAGTATTAAGTTATGGAAGGTTATATGAGCCTATTAGCAGAAGCAACACCTATGATGCCTTATTGTCTTTCAAGCCTTAATCATGAATTGTCATTAGCACTCAAGAGTCCAGCATACCAATGTTGAAGCCTGTGTTTCCAGGGTAGCAGTTTACCAAACCTTGTCCTTACCTGTAGTTCATTTCTTGAGAGGAAGTAAACACCAGCACAACAAGCAGCTGCTATTCCCAAGGAAGCCACCCAAACCACCAGATGAATAGCGATACGAGCAATTTTCTGCTTTAGAGAAAGGTTCAGTACCTCGAGGGTCACTTCAGACAGGGATTCCTGCAATCAAACACTTGCTAATTAAGCATAGGCCTTAGTCAATAATATAACAACAACAACAACATCTAGCTCTTACCTAGTGCTATTGAGCAATAGATCTCAAAGTCATTTACAAAGGTTGTTAGTATCATTACCCACATTTTATAAATGGGGAAACTGAGGCATAGAGAGGGGCAGTGACATGTCCAACATTTCCCAGCAGACTAGTGGCCAAGCCAGGAATAGAACTCAGGTTTGACACATGGCCAGAAAGGGTTAAGCAGCTCGCAGGCTAATTGATGCAGATTCAACGTTTAGAGACATGTTAGAAAAGTATGTAAATGTTAATTAGGGCCACTGCATCTTAGATAGGCTAGAACTTTGAAATGCAAACTTGTATTGTTACTAATACTAATTGTATGCATTTACTTATATCTTCTTAGATGTTAGCCATGTAAACAGACAGTTCCTGTCTATTACTATAGCTACTGATTCAGAGATCAAAAGGGAATATTAACATTTAGATGAATCTTGGGTGAAATAATGTCATTGTCTATATGTCTCTTTAAAGTTTGTGATAAACTGCTTAATGGATAAATTACTTTATGTTAATCCATGTAGTTAATTACCCATGACGTTTGGGAAGCAGAAGGTTACATCAAAAGCCTATTGTTCTCCCAGGTCAAGAGGCTGGTAGAAAACTGTATAAAAGACTCTTGGGATCTGATTATTTCATTTCAGATCTGCCTGATGCTTTAAGCAGGGGACGCTTAAGTCATAAAACTGAGATCTCCAGTCCCACCTGGATCACCCGGAATATGAACATTGGACTATAACCTATGGAATAAGTCTGAAAGAACTTTTTGCAGCTATAAAGCTCACCATCTCTACTATAAAACTGAACTTAGAATTGTACTCATGTCTGTATGTAATACTGATCTTTTAACCAATACTCTCTCTCTTTGCTTTTTTTTAATACATTTCAATTTAGTTAATAAGAATTGGCTGTCAGCGTGTATTTGGGTAAAATCTGAAATATTCATTAACTTGGGAGGTAATGTGTCAAATCCTTTAGGATTGGTAGAACTTTCTTATATGATGAATAAGATTTTCAGTAATCTTCAGCATATCTGATTTGGGTGTCTGGGTGGAAGCCCAAGGCTGGGTTGCTATAAGGGAACTGTGTTTTGGCTTCTGTGCAACCAGTGAGGTATTGTGGAAGCTGTTTTATGTTAGTTTGGTAACTCTAAGCATTGGGACATCCACTAGCTTTGGGGACTGTCTGCCACATTCTTTGCAGTTTTCCCTAATTGAGTAATATCAGGGTGGCCCCCAGTACCTTGGTCACACCAGGTCTCATAAATCCCAGGCCAGTGCTCTCTCCACACCTGTCCTAAGTGACCACTCAAGGGATAGAATACAGGTGATCTCTTAGGGCTGGTCTCCACTATGGGAAGATTGATGCTGCTGCAATGGATACAGCAGGGATCGATTTAGTGGGTCGAGTGAAGACCCACTAGATCAACAGCAGAGCGCTCTCCAGTACTCCATCTCTCTTAGAAGAGTAAGGGAAGTCGACTGGAGAGCATCTCCCATCGACGCAGCACAGTGAAGACACTGGGGTAAGTTGATCTAAGCTATGTCGAATCCAGCTACATTATTCACATAGCTGGAGTAGCGTAACTTAGGTCGACTTACCCCGGTAGTGAAGACAAGCCCTTAGTGCAGGCAGCACAATTGTACTCACTATGTTTGGGGCAGTCTCTTGTACAAGTTTCATCATACTTCATAGTTAGGGCTACAGCTCCCAACGGTGCCTTACTACCTAAGTGATCCAATACCAAGAAAACCAAACTCACAATGATAAAAAAGGCCAAAAATAAAGGAAAAAACATGAGCTAGGGGCAAGGCACCGTTCGTTCATGTGCACAGCCGTATAGGATATGCCACAATGAGGGAGAGAAGCATGTTATATGGAAATAATCTCAGTTAAATCAGCAGTATGCTAGATAATGCCAGGCAAAGAGCAGTGTGTTCCCCCCACCTTCTAGCTAAAGGCCACTGTTTGGCTGCAGGTCTGAAAAAAAAATAGAGCTGGGCAAATATTCATGCCACAGTTGTAGAGATTCAACTGCCAGGACAAAAAAGAAGGAGCTAGAAAAAAATTCCTTTAGAAATATATTGTTAAGCCAATGGCAGGTAAGTAAATGGCTCCTAACAGAAAACCTTCACATAGTCAACTAGTGGAGTAGGAAGAAGTTGGATCTCTGAAGTATCCGATGGCACTTTCTTGAGCAAGTCATACATTCAAACCGAGAGTTAGATCTGCTCACACGGGGAGAGGATTTCTTTCCGATCCATTTCATTCTGTACCTTTATTTGTGTACTGAGATTGCTTTGCTTCAGTTTCACAGCTTTCTCATTGGTTATATTGAAGTCCCAGATGCAGAGAAGCTTGGCAGCACTTCCAGAGTAAGTCTGAAGATTGATGAAGTTCTTACAGAAGGACTTTGCCATGCTGCAGTAGAAGTTACACGCAGGAGATCAGTATTAGGGAAAGGCAGGGAGTCTTTGAGAGGAAAGACCCAAACAGAGTGTGGGGGGGGGGGAATCAGTCTTGCAAACTACAGAAAACTACCTTCCTTGATTAGTGAATGTAGAGTTCAGTTACAGTCACTCCCCTTTCCCTTTATGCACATTTTACAGATGGGGAAACTGAGGTCAACAGGTCTCTTTACATACCCTGCTACTTCCTGCCTTCTTTTCCCCTATTCCATGTCAGCAATGGCTGCGTCTGAAGGGCCATTTCAATGCAGCAAATCACCCGTGGAAGTTATGGACAGCAGCATTCATAACGGGATTACACTCAACTGACTAAGCCAGAATTCTTCTGGGGGGTCATTGGTGTCTTTGCAGTGATTCTACACCCTGTCTGGTGGGTCTGGCAGCACTTTGGACACTGTGTAGCCCTAAACTGGGGAAATTTGATGACAGCGTATTTAATTTCAGCAGATTCTTTTATTACTATCAGGAACTAGAAACAGGAATTCGTCAACAGCAGCATGTCCAAATTAGTGGCCAAGGATATTATTACTACTACTAGTAGACGCTCTTAAAATGTGAATAGCATTTTTGTCTTCCTACAGATATATCCATTTTAAAGTGCAGGAGGAATATATAGTTATTGTACCTGTACACCAAGCTAAAGAAGCAGATGATGAAATAAATCCCAATAGTGAAAATATAGGCCAGCTGCATGTTATAGGAAGAATTGTTCTCAGTTTTCGTGATTGTAGAGTTGGTGTAAAAACCGTAGTAGAGCACTGTTTTTTTAAAATAACCCTAAAATGATATGGAAATTGGATTAGCACTCAAAAGACATGCTGTTGATTGAATAAAGTGGAGTACTCAAGGGTCTGATCCTGCAAAACTTGATTGACAGGAATAGACCCATTCACCCCAATGAGATCACTCTTGCTAGTAAGGTTTTTGCAGGATTAGGCCCTCCTTTCCCCCCAACTACTGATCACAATTTTACAGGTGCCAAGTGCTTCTTGTGGCCAATGAAGCACCCCTCCTTTTCCTAGAGATCAACGGGAGGAGCTGCAGGTGCACAACACCTTGAAGGAGTGGACCTTAGTTAAAATTATTGCAACTGGCATTAGATCAAAGGTTATTTGGCCACCTTTCCGAGGACACACTCTGTAAATACTGTACTTTAATCCCTTCTTGCTATACTTTTACTTTGCATCCAGAAACTTAGGAACACAACAGTTTTACAACTGAAGACTGAGAACTGTTAACTGAAATGCACAAATGCAACATTGCAAGAGAATTCCAGCAGGAATATTCATATTTACCCTTCTTAAAAAAACAACATGGCATCCTCACATTGAGAAGGTCTTAGCTACCAGTCTGGGTTATTATTTCACTAGATAGACACCCGCCCCACCTCGTGTACAGTGGAAATGATGCAACCTTCTTGTAAAGGTCAGGTGTGGAAAAAACTAACCTCCCCCAAAAAGGAACAGCTCCTCCTCTCTGACCAAATAAACAACCAAACAGTAGCTTAGTGTCAGTAAAATTAGCACAATATGGGATACTGGGATGTTTTCCTTTAGGTTTTTCTTCCCCCCAAAAATATTTAGATATTTAGGCCCTGATGGTGTAGAGATCCCAGCACACATTTAAAGGTCCATTCGAGTAATGCCCCGCTGACTTCAACCCGTCTCTAGGCAAGGATTTGCCCAGCTCCTTGCAAAAATCAAGAATTCAGTGCTTATGAAATGTGCCAGGTTCACAGCATTGGAAACTGAAGTCCTTAACATATCTGCAGAAGCAGGATAGCATGGGAAGATTCACTGCTGATAGTGTCTTAGGATAATTCAGAAGGGGTTAAAGGATAATGCAGTCTTCATGCCTATTCAATCGCTCGCTGAGAGGCTGTCAAAAAGGCACCAAGCAGTTTTTGAATAGGACACAAATGCTCTAGGAATTAGAGTGAGATCAATTAATATCATACAGGCTACTGGGCAGCTTATGAAACTATAAGGCAAATTAAAAATTTTACAGTGACCAGAAGAAAATAAGAACACTATTAAAACTTCCACCACTCCACTGAGCTGTTACTAGAAAATACTTCTGGCTATTTTTTTACATTAGGATGATTTTATAAAATATCTCTCTTGTATACAGTACTAGTTTGGGCCCGCCTCTACATACTTACAGCCCCGGTCAGAAGCTCCAGACCGTTGAACGAAAGATTATTTGGTCCTGATGCTATAAGCTGTGGGATTGTTATGAAGCTGAAGTTTACAAGGAATGAGAAGATGTTGAAAGTCAGTAACCACTTCAGAAAAACAAAATAGGAAAGAACACTGGTTCCAAACTTGCCACGGATGACTTTCAGAGTCTTCTGCCATAGTTGCAATAAGTGCAAATATTCTGACAGGCCATTTTTAAATCGCCGATAGGACTAATATTAGAAGGAGATAGAAATATGATCATTAACAGGCAATCTGATACTGCACTTGTTACATAGTATTCAAATTAAAGTCACACAAGACAATCCCACATTTCTCATATTTGTATTTTTAAATTAGGAACATTTTCCCTCCTTCACTTTCTTCTCATTTGTAGGATGCCTTTCCTTGACTTGAGCTCTTAAATGCTACCATAATCCAACTTAATAAATAAATAATTAAAATAAAATAAAATAAAAGTGCACTGGTTCTTTGGCCTATTGGCAAGTAAAGGTAACACAAGGGAATATGCTATGCAATGCTGGAGTGAGCAATGAGATCTTAGTTAAAAAAAGTTTAACCCAACTTGTGTGAACAAGGCAGGTTACACTTACCAATGCTGTTTTGTACAGACAGTGTGTACAACAGTTAATCTGAGTACTGGAGCTCCCAGATTTTTTTGTTTTCTCCATGAGAACTTTATTCCTGTGGAACAGCATGGAGGAGGGTGATTAAAACAATGAAGAACTTCTCATTTAACATACCACATTGTGTTTAACAGACTTCTGCAAACACAAATGTTATGCACGTGCTCAGGAGCACAGCTGGGCAGGATATGGCCAGCGTATACTTTTGAGAGTTTAAAAATTTTTACCATCCTAAATCTGGACAAAAAGTCAACATCACAAAAAATTTAGCTAGCTGAAAAAGGCCCCTCCCCCCGCCAAATAATAAACAAATAATTTTCAGTTTGGGTCAATCGAAACATTTTATTTCAATTTCAAGATTTTTAATGCTTTCAGTCTAATTAGTTTCACATTTCAAAACAGAAAGTTGTTTCAAACCAGAGCAAAAAATCAGAATTTTTCATTAAAATTGTCAGAAAAAATCATTTTGACATTTTATAAACTTTTTTTAAAAAAATTTCAGGTTGGAAAATTCATCTAGAAATCAACCTGGTTTTGAAAACAGTTATAGTTTTGAAAAGGAGAATTTTTCAGAAAAAAAAGATAATCAAAAAATTCCCAACCAGCTCTACTCTGTAGCAGCCAAAAAGTTATTAAAATGTGGACTTTAACGAGAGCACTTTGCTGTTTGTCTTTCTGTTAACTGGCAATCTGCCTCAGGACAGACAAGTCTGGTGCCAATCTAGCCTCCTTGCATCTAACACCTACTTATTGTTGGTGATGGGCTTTGGATATCCTCTACAATGGCACTGTGATAGTGACAAATCAGCCATTACTTTCAACCTCTTTTGCTTGGCCTCTTCTCCACTCTTATTGCTGAAAACTCTTTTGAAACTCTTAAACATCACAATCCACATTTCATATGACATTTCTTATATAAACAGAACAGATATTGCTGTCAACGAGAGGAAACATTGCTCCCATCGAACAAAAATGCACATCCTGCCATCCTTACTGAATGCTGATTTGCCTTGTAAGATGCTACTTTAAAACAGGTTATTATTTTCCAGTTGTTTTGTTCCATAATTGACCTAGAATCTAGCGAGGAAATATGCAGACACCTGCATTTGTTAAGTAAATGCCAGAAACAGTATGTGTGTTCACATCAGTACTAAGCTGTAATAAACATTCTGCTTTTACCTGATGTCTCTCTTTTCTTTCATGGTCTTTGGTGTCTTCTGGATTGCTTTAACTCTCTCTCTGCTGGACATGCTTGCAAGATTTTTGATCAATTTTTCTTCTGTAGGTGGGATGTACAAAAAAAAATTATATCCATCCAGAACTTTAGATAACAACATCTTAACTTTCATACAAAGAATGAGAGGAGGAAGACTGGAAATAAGACAGGTTTCAGAGTAGCAGCCGTGTTAGTCTGTATCCGCAAAAAGAAGAACAGGAGTACTTGTGGCATCTTAGAGACTAACAAATTTATTAGAGCATAAGCTTTCGTGGACTATAGCCCACTTGCTATATGCATCCGAAGAAGTGG